GTCACAGGCTGCATCCGCGTTGGCCGAGGGGGGGACATACGCTGTTATCGCGATAACATAATAGAACATGAATTAGTGCAAGAGTGCATCCAGTAATAGGGGCAAAAACAGGGTTTGTCGTTAACATGAAACTGAAATTATAGTTCAGGCTTGAGCATCAACAGGTAGGATGAAAAGACATGTATGTTTGTGTTCCCTGCACTGATACTGGAGACTGTAGTAACATACTGCCAAAACAGCGTTTGGAGGGTTGATGGACAAATGCATTTCATCACTATAAAAAATAAATTTATGTGCACTATAGGGCACTAAACTAACTAGCAGTTGCCAGTTTCCACATGTAGCAGAGAGGGAGTGGTATTTTTAATAATTAGGATTCATCCTTTAATTCACCATTTAATTCATTGGACATAGGTCCAATATTTCCACTCATCTGTGCTCTATTTTTTAGTTTTCACCAACTCTTTAGTGAAATGTATGATTCTGAATCCTCAACAGTGTACACCAGCCAGTGGCTAACTTTGTCTGTCTGCTGCTTGGTGCTCAGTAGGCTGCTTTTGCTGAAAACAGCAGCCTGCTGTGACCATAAACAACATTAATGAGAGTGAACCAAAGCCACCCACGCAATTTTGTTGACCAAAAGATGCAGAAACCTAAACATTGTGTGATATGATCAATTTTTCGACCTGATAGATTTGTGGAAATAAAAACAAAACACACAATAAGTTGCACTGTGTATGTTTGTGCACAAATATCCCTTCTTAAAAATGTCTATCATGACTCTGATTTTTTGTATGAGTACAGTAAGTATACCCTTACTGTTTTCACAGAAATTAAGACGGTAAGTAGCAGCCAGGTGCTGCTAATCAAATTCACTTGATTAATTGATCATCAGTAAGTGTGACCACCTCTATAACAGGAAACGTTTTTTTTCTGGCCCGGAGCATTCAGCTTTGTGTGTACACAATGCCACAATCTTCCCATTAGCAGACGTACCTGCAAATTTACACAAGGTCAGACCGTGTAACGTTAAGAGAAACTGCAAAAATCCAAGGGCTTCATCTTAGACCAGGGGTGCCCAATCCCGGTCCTCGAGAGCTACCGTCCTGCAGCTTTTAGATGCATCCTTGTTCCCACACACCCGAATCAAATGAATGGCTTGTTATCAGGCCTTTGCCAAACACGATGGCATGCTGAAGAGGTAATCAAACCATTTGATTCAGCTGTGTTGGAGTAGGGATGCATCTAAAAGCTGCAGGGTAGTAGCTCTCGAGGACTGGGATTGGGCAGCCGTGTCTTAGACTCTACAGGCCTCAGTTAGCATGTTAAATGTTAAACTTCGCAACTGCATAATTAGAAAAAGCCTGAACAAGTACAGGTTGTTTGGAAGTGTTGCCAGGAAAAAGCTTATTCTCTCTAAAAAGGCACATGGCAGCACTGCTTAGGTTTTACAAACCTACATCTGAGCAAACTGCAGAAGTTCTCTAACAATGTCCGTTGACCATAATGCACTGTGCTACATTTGGTGAAAGCAAACACAGCATATCAGCACAGATACCTCATACCAAGCACGGTGATGGAGGGGTGATGATTTGGGCTTGTTTTGCAGCTTGCTCAACCATGAACTCCTCATTATGCCAAAGTATTCTACTGTCAAATGTGAGAGCGTCTGTCAGACAGTAAAAGCGTAGTCAAAACTGGGTCATGCAACAGCACAGTGATCCCACTCATAGCAGCAAATCTATGACAAACTGCCATAGTCCAGTTGAAGGCCAGATTCAACCTGCCTAAAAAGCTGTGATGGGAACGTAACAGATCTGTGCAAATGCCCACAAACCTCAATGAACTGAAGCAACATTGTAAAGAGAAGTAGGTCAAAATTCCTCCACAAAGATGCGACTGACTGATCACACATTTCAAGTTATTGCTGCTAAAAGTGGTTCTTCAAGCTACTATATGATAATGTATGTTTCTAAGCATATGACAGAAGATATAAACAGACCTATACTCATGATCTCATGAGATCGTATATGATCAGGTGGTCTGACAATGTCCATGAAGGTAACTTAAAAAATTAAACACAGGACTATAGAAAACCACATCCTGTCAGTGGTTGACTAACATTTTATGATGAACTTTTCTTTAATTCGCCTGGACCAAGAACTTAACAGTTTTTTAAAACCCAGAGGCTGTTATCATGTTCTGTCCTATTTGGCTTTTAAGACTTTTGCTGGGCAGTTTGTATCAGGAGCCTTGAAACCGTGTTTCTTGGCTTGGCCTTTTGTAAAAGTGAGGAATCATGAATTTATTCAAACTGAAATCTGAAGCTTGTTGAAGTTGTTGATGCCCTGCATACCCAGATAATAATCAAGCTTTAATATGCATACGTAGCAGATGCTGAGCAAATGTTCAATACTGAAAAAAGTGATTTCAGAGCCACAACTCTACAAGCAGCGAAAGCGTGTTGTAGCCCCTGGAAAAATCTGAAGTATCAAGACTCATATTGAAAATTTGCTTTCTGTCCGTGTTTAATGATCAGGCTGGGGAAAGTTCGCCCGGCTGACTCGTGCTCTAACAAGCAGCAGAGGAGTCTTACAACAGCTGCAGCCCACGGTTCACAAAGGAGAGAACGTCCACAAGCACTCCCGCCTCGCTGAGGTAAGGTTCGCTCATTGGATTTAATTTCAGATTTTTTTTCCACTGTTGAAGTTAAATAGTGTTACATTCTGTAGGAAATAAAATGTCCACAGATGTGAGATGGTGCTTAAATGTCATTAGTAGGTGAAAATCTAATAAAAATATGAATATTGTGTATGAAAGGGAAAACGGAGTAAATGAACAAGAGCTAACTTTGGACACATTTTTCATGAGCAGGTGAACTTCAGTCACTAAAAGGATTAGCAAACCTTAGCTGCAGCTTTTTTGGCTCCCCATTGTGGCAATTTACCTGTCTGCGCTGAGCTTCACATATTAACTGGGTTTTTTTGTGCAGGTTCTGCAGCTCGGCTCAGATATCCTACCTCAGTACAAGCAGGAGACTCCCAAAACTCCACCTCACATCATCCTGCACTACTGCCTCTTCAAGACCACATGGGACTGGGTTATCCTCATCCTCACCTTCTACACCGCCATCATGGTGCCCTACAATGTCTCCTTCAAGATGAAGCAGAACAACGTCACGTGGCTGGTGGTAGACAGCATTGTGGATGTCATTTTTTTGGTGGACATAGTTTTAAACTTCCACACCACATTTGTTGGACCTGCCGGTGAGGTCATCTCAGACCCCAAGCTGATTCGAATGAATTACCTTAAGACTTGGTTTGTTATTGACCTGCTGTCATGCCTGCCATATGATGTCATCAACGCCTTCGAGAATGTAGATGAGGTGAGTGCAGCACTGTGCGTATGGCTCAAATGATTTGTTGATTCGAAACCTGACTCCCAAATAATAGCAGATGTTGTTTTTCTTTGCTTTGGCTCATAGTAAACAAAACAGTTGGACTGTCTTGACCTGGCAGAAACTGAATGTATTATTTTTAGGTATTTTTAAGTGGTTACTGGCTGTTTCCCCATTTTCTACTAATCAAGGAATATGAATGCATATCATTTTAGATTAAATCCTTTTAGACTGTTGGTCAGTCTAAATAACGTCTTGAAACACCTTGAAGTAACAAGCAAATTATTCTAAACTGGTGATAAAATAAAAAGCCATCAGCCATATGGACCTTTGGTGGTGTCCGTCATGTCTGGTACCTCAGAGGATGGTGCTTTAAGGGGTTTTTAAGTGATTAGCTTGTCACGCGTCACTTTGTAGGTGACATTTTGTCACTGGTGATCATTCCAGCCTCCGGTTGCCTAGGTAGTAGGCCCCTGATGTGTTTACCATCTGTCATCAGTAAATCAACAGTATCCTTCGCTGTTGTATCCTTGTCTTAGAGCTGGTCTTTTTGCCCGTTGTTACACTTGAAGTCACTAATTGTCAATGAATTTCTGGCTGCCATGTCGATTCCTCTCTGGATGCCACCTTAGACTCTTTGTAGTGTTCCCCCAAGCTATTCCCGAAAGGTGTTTGCTGCTAGAGGAGGACACAGCTGTCAGGGAGTGCCTTTATGCTAGACCTGCAAGAATGTTTTAAGATGGAAACAATCACATGAATGCCAGGATTTAAGGATTTTCAGCAGAATATTGAGTAGTAATGAGATGATGAATGCATCTTACTTCAGCTTTCAGTGGTTTTAATGTTGTGGTTAATTCTGATTCTCTTCAGTCAAACTGAATTCATCATTTAACAGTGATGTTTGAAATACATGTTATCCACCGTTATTTTATTTTTTTAAATTTCACTTTAAACAACATGGAAATACACAAATATATTAACATATTAAAGCATGAAATTAATTTTCCACTGTGTAATAACTGATCTCTAAGAAAGTTTTTAAGCTTCCATGTCTTCTTATTAGTAGTTTGACATATGCATCTCTGCAGTAACAATGGGGGAAAGATAACATTGCATGAACCAGGCCTTTGTTTCTTTCCTATAAGGCAGCAAACACAATATAAAACATCTGGATAGGTGTTACTCTGAAATGTGTACACTAAATGGTTTATCGGAGTAGATTAAGCACTGATGCTGGCATGCGCTTCACAGTGACTGCAGCCGCTTATCATGTTCTCTTGCTGCAAACTTCCCACAAGAAGGGACTTAGATTACATACATGGCTGTTAAAGATGAAGACTTTGCTGGTGATAAGTGCATCACTTTGCATCAGATTACTGCTGCATTCTCTGCTGCTTATTCTCTCATCAGTCACCCTAAGAACAGTGTATGTTGTTGTGCGGATAAACAAATGCTCGAGACTCTTAGTTGGATCTTAGTTATTGGATCTAAATATCTCTAAATAAGTTTGTTGCTAAGCGATCATCACTACTCTTCAGCCAATGTAAAGATTTAACAGTTAAAATGAACTTTAATCCAAAGTTTGTGAGATGATTGTGATATATTCTTTACAGCATGTGGTGCCAGCTCTATGACCCTCTCTAAAATGTGAAAATGTACTGTAAGCCCTCTAAACCAATCAGGACTTTTCTTACTTTGGTTTCTCAGAGCCATCAACAGCAACTTCACATTAAGATTAAACAACGGAAAAATAATTTTACTGTTAAAATCAAATTAAAATCCTGTAAATAATGATTTGATGGACAGGTTATTAGGTTACCATGCAGCCATTTAACCACATTATCAACTACTCTGTATCAGAACCTGTTCACTGGTTGTTATTTCGGGTAGGAACATTAAAAAACAACAAGTTTTAATGAACGGCTTAATAATATGCTTGTTTGTGAATAAATGTTCCACTATAGTGATGAGTGTTTGCTGGAGAGCCATCACAGGATCTCGAGATAATTGGCACATTTTAATTTGAGGAAGGAGCGTTAACACTGTTGAACTCGGCCACTCGCCAGTGCTCCACTGTGTCACTGATGCCCTAAAGCCATTAACACCTAATGACAGTTGAATAATCATGGGAAATAGTGCCATTCTACCAGACAAGCACTTTGAGTTAGTCCATTTTTAATGGATAAATTTCAGTTTCATAATGTGATGAAGGAAGGTTTGTTAAAAGCCTAACTTTGGTTGGTTCTCTGAAGGGAAAAAAGGTTATTTGGTCTATTTCGTGATACCATTTCTCATCTGCATTTAGAATAAAGAGAAAAAATAACTTGAAGGAAGGTTTACATGTAAAATATTTTACATGTTTATCTCTCTGTGATTAAAGATGTCCGAGGAGAAAACGCAGCTTCAGAATCTGGCGTAAATGTATCTGGAGATCTTTTTACCCCCCCCTCAAACAAACGTGGCACTTTAAAGTCCTGCATTTGCCAGTATTCATTATATTAGTGTATCATTTTGTGTCTCGGTGTGTGTATATGTGCCACATCTCTTGGTGTGTATGTGTGTAAAACACTGTAATAGCAGTTTACGGCGCAGTTTCTCACTGCGCACTGTTGGGTGTCCCACACAGTATAAGATATGCAGTAGTAAAGCTGATTGGTGGACAGAGAGCATTTAGTTGTGCTTGCAGATCAGGCATTTCAGCCTTTCTAGTATTTCATCGATTCAGCATTCTAAATGCTGACGAGTTCAGTTGACCGGAGCAGTCAGGGGTCAGTAGAAAGGAAAAGCAGCAACCTTTTTGTAGCTTGAATGCTGATGTTATTTGATCGTGTGATGCTCATTAAAGAAAAACTAAACCAACCATGGACTGTCTGAATAGATTTTGTCATTGACACAATCTTTTTGAAAGTATATGAAAGAGCTACAGAGTTCTTCTTAGTTTATTTTTAAAAAAGACAGTTGATTATATAAATTGCTGCCAGTGTAAGTAAATGCATCATTAATTGTAGATTTAAATTGTGAATATTGGCTGGTTTGACAGTAGATTGAAATGTCATTGGGATCAAATATGGATTGTGTTCTTTCACTGAGCATTGAGGTCAAACATTAGCTGGAGTGTTTGATTGTTTAGGTTTTCTTTGTATTATTATAGCGTCTCTACTGTCCAATATAAAATGCCTTAATGTGACTGCTGTTGTAATTTGGCACTATATAAATAAAATTGAATTGAATTTAATGTGTGTTGTATCCAAAATAAATTGGAGACTCATTTTGGCTGACTATACTCTCCTGAATACAAATGCAGCAGATAGCTCTGGAACTCAGAAGCGACTGTTTTTGGTGCATCAGTCAGAACTTGTGGTCACAGGAAATTGAGAGAGCAAGCGGATTTTTGCAAGAGGCCTCTGATGATCAAATTTGCATAACGGAGACCCAAGAGGACCCGACATACTCAGGGAAGTGGAAGCATTGGGGTTATTTTATAACCGATGCACAGCACTACTAGGGATCAGAACTCCCTAGGCTACTAATTCAGCAACTGAACAAACACTGAAGAAATGGTTTTATAGATCCCTTAAAATTCACCTGAAATAATCAGTTATTTTATAGTGTGCATTTCATGCAGGTTAATGCAATTTTAAATTATTTACTGATTACTGAACATAGAGAAAATGATAAAATCATAAATAATACTAAAAACATGTAAAAGCTAATTTTATAGCTAGAAATAAATGTATGAGCCAGGCTACAAAGATGTGCTTTTAGTTTGGTTACATTTTGTCAGTCCTCAGTAACTTTAAAAGTCGTCTTTCATGCAAAAACGGAAAAACTTGCATGCATGTGTGTTTCGATTTCACCATATGGCATCCAGCAGTATCCAGTTGTCTAAGAAACAGAATCATTGCACAGTATAGTCAGTGCAGTATACTGTAAACTGAGCATGCTCGGTATGCACTTGAAAAGACGTCACTTGCTATTCCATTGACGTAGCTGGAATATTATATGATATGTAGCTCTGACAACTAAACACTGCTTGTCAGGTGTTGCTGGCCTTATTCTGTAACATATGTTACTTTTATTCTTCACTCTTTCCATTTTAAAGTGATTATTTGCTTATTATGCTGCCATGGATACAGTGTCGCCTTCTGAAATAATTATCCATTTAGGTGATTGTCATCCATTTATAAGCTGTTTATCAAAACAATATGTCAGATATTCAAAGGTCAGTGGTTTTCTCAGTTGGATATAATTAGAATTTAAAGCTAGTAAAAAAAAAGAGCTATTTACTTGAACTTTCTTTTGAGATACTATTTTACGGACTTGACATTTACCACCTAATTCATAAAAACATCTGCAGCAGCGAAGATAATTATTTGATGCAGCCTTACATGAAACAGTCCAGCCTAACACTTATGTATGCATCTGCTGTGAGTAAGAAATGTGATACGGCAATGGAGGTAATGGATGCATTGGCTGTAAACCGACATCAAAGCCATGACCGCAAACTCAGGATCATCTTCCATTGTGTCTCTGCGACAACTCAGTGACTCCAATTTGTTCCAAATTGCTTTGAGGCAATCCATGGCAAGGGTAAATGAGAGTGAGCAAACAATTGCCTGTGTTATTAAACCGGTATGGAAACATCTTGCTGCTGCAGCAGATCTTAACAGCTGACATGAATAACTTTGATGGCTGTTTTCCCCCAACAGGTTTCCGAATAGAAAAGAGAAGCTCATTAACGGGGAGCCGCTGTCAAAGTTATTCTTGGCAATTTGAAACACTGACCGATTTGGTTTTTCACTCAGGGATAACCCAAAACTACAATAAATGGACCACCTGATGTTGCAAGTGGTTTGAAATAATAAAGCTTTGAGTGCGTGCTTTGCACTGTAAACACTTTCAAAACACAGATAAGAATGTTCCTTTGTGTTTCCTTTTGTTTGATTATTGAATGTTGATTTTTTTTAAACTGTGTTTATTCATCGCTTACCAATGATCAAGTATGTTTTCTCTTACTTGTGCTTCGTTTTTGTTTTCTTCTTTTTATCCCTCCATTCTGTTTGCATGGCCCCCCCATCCTCTTCTGCCTGTGTTCATGCATGGAACGTGATGGGAAGAATTGGAACCACCGAGCTGTCACTCAAGTAGGCTTCAGTTTGATTAGAATATCATAGAATGTGTTTTTATTTTACTTGTAGACACACATTCACACATTGATCAGGCCTTAACAATTATAATAGGTGCACAATGTTCTCAACGAGGATAAGGCAGTATAAATGCATGAACTGTCAAGATAAGATATGGGATTCTTGTTTTTTTTCGCTCTCTCTGCAAAGCTTTTTAATGCCAGGATTGTCTTATGCAATATTTAAAAATGAGGTTCATTAAAATTGCACAAGAGCAGATTGAGTCCTCACATCAGCAATCATTTATGACAAACTGACTATAGTTAAATTTTCAACAAGAGTCATCCTGGGATTAAAAATGTCTTTTAAGATAGTGTGTTTCTAATATAGAGTGGTATACATATATACCACATATACATTGTATAAGAACCACCTCTTGC